AGAGAGAGAGAGAGAGAGAGAGAGACTAAAATTATGTAAAACACATGGAATAAATGTCTATATAAAAAATTGTGTTTTTAAAAACTTGTAAAACGGATAAATCTCACGGCTATAAAAATATTGATTCCTATATTCAAACGATTAGGTGATAATCGGGTGCAGAGATATACAAAAGGGCGAAAATGCGGCCCAAGATATTAGGATTAAAAATCCAAACGCAGACATAATTGTCATGAAATTGGATTTATCTTCACTTTCATCGGTCCGACACTTTGCTAAATCAGTGGCAAAACAGGTGACCAAAGTTGATATCCTTATAAACAACGCCGGAGTTATGATGTGTCCGGAGTTGACTACAGACGAAGGCTTTGAACTTCAATTAGTGTCCAATTATTTGGGTATTAAACCATTATTATTGTTAAATTACAAGCAAATTATTATTTTTATCATAATTTCAGGTCATTTTCTGCTAAACCATTGTTTAATGCCTTTATTAAAAAAGTCAACGAAAGCACGAATTGTGAATTTGTCATCAATTTGTCATATATTAGGAAAAATACATTTCGATAATATAAACCTCAAGAATGGTGTTTACAGACCAATGAAAGCCTACAGTCAAAGCAAATTGGCTATCATTTTGAGCACTCAAGAAATGTCCCGTAGATTAGGTACCGACAGCTCTGTCACTGTCTATAGTCTTCATCCGGGAGTCATTCAGACAGAGATTACCCGACACTTCCCATTATATTTATATCTATTCCTTAAACCCTTTATGGTATCCATTGAAACGGGAACTCAAACAACACTTTATTGTGCGCTCGAAGAGAGTATTCAAAATGAGTCCGGATTTTATTACGAGTGAGACTTCCTCTTATATTTACCGTTATTTCTATTAATGTAATTAATTTTTAAAATATGAATATTTTAAATTTGAATATCAATAGAAACTGTCAACGACTCGATAATATGGTTTCGCAGGCAATCGACGCCAAAAGTGCACAAAAACTATGGGACTTGAGTTCCGATTTGGTTCAACTCGAAGATCAACTTAAAATTAAATGAATATTTATAAATCATTAAACATTATATATTATTATTATATAATAGATTATATTTTTAAAATTTCATTGCAATTATAAATTTAATTTATTTAGCTGCCGCTTATTTTTCCAAATTCATAAAGTTAATCGTGATAATCATTATTTAATTTTTACAAAATTATATTGTTTTATGAAAAAGTATTTATTTCAATGACATTGACAATAGTTATTATCTATATACTATAGAAAGAGTTCATTTCAAGTTATAATTAGAAACGATGGTAATAAAAATATACAATTTATCAGTAATTTCCTAATCCAATGGCAAACCTCCTGAAAGTCTGAACAACAAACGTTATAAAAGTGCACAAACATTATAACACAGTTTCATTTAATTACAAGTTTTAATATAAAATCAGTACAAGACTGCAAACAAAATATAAAAAGTATTAGATTTTCATTATTTATTGTTTGTTATCCTTTGGATCGGTTACAGAATTCGTGAACAGAATTTTAATAAAATTTTTCTGAGAGAAAATTCATTAATTGTTAATCGAAAACATGAGTTATTTGAATGATTTATTGGTTACAATCATCACTTATTTAGAAGTTTTCAAAATCCTTTTGGGAACCAAAAGGAAATATAAAATTCATGCAAACCTTAATGGAAAAGTAGTACTCATTACCGGAGGAAACACAGGACTCGGCAAAGAGACCGCATATCAGATGTCATTACTCGGAGCTAAGGTTTGTTTGATTTTGTTTTTTACATTAAATAAACACAAATAATCACTATTAAGATCACTATTAACTTATAATAACACTTGTCATAAAACCCATAAGAATTGTTTACATAACACAAGGTTTTATAAAAGATATCAAATGATAAAATTTTTATATTTATAGTTTAAGTGATAATTTTTAATTTTAACAAATTATATAAATATTCTGTAAATTTCAATTTGTTCTATATTTGAATTGAAAGGTCATAATCGGGTGCAGAGATGTCCAAAAAGGCGAAACAGCGGCTCAATATGTAAAAATCAAGAATCCAAAGGCGAATGTAATTGTTATGAAACTGGATTTGTCGTCACTTTCATCGGTCAGGAGTTTTGCCAAAACTGTGGCTCAAAACGAGTCCAAAATCGATATTCTGGTCAATAATGCGGGTGTTATGGGATGTCCTGAGTCTAAGACTGACGATGGGTTTGAATTGCAATTCGGGACAAATCATTTAGGTTTACAATACTTTCACTCGTATTAAACAATTACAATAAAAAAATGGTTCAATTGATTTAACGGGAAAAACTTTAGGTCACTTTCTGTTGACGCTGTCATTACTGCCATTACTACGAGAGGCACCGAAAGCCCGAATAGTGACCGTTTCGGCCGCTCTTCACATTTACGGCAAAATACATTTCGAGAACATAAACCTACGGAACGGGGCCTACAATCCACTCCTGGGTTACACTCAAAGCAAATTGGCTAACATTTTGTTCACTCAAGAACTCGCCCGAAGACTCGGATCTAATAGCACTGTCACTGCCTATAGTCTACACCCGGGGGTCATAATGACTGAATTGCAGCGCAATTTGTCAAATATTTTGCGATATTTTCTCAGCTATTTTGTGGTCTCCACCGAAATGGGAGTCCAAACCACTCTGTATTGCGCCCTCGAAGATAACATTGAAAATGAATCAGGGTCTTATTATGAGTTAGTGACCATAATCAAATACTTTCATTGCATTAATTTACAGTATTTTATATTAATTAATCGCTTAAATCCCTATTTCTAGTGACTGTCGACGTGTGAGTCGATTGATATCACAGGCAAATGATGTCGAATCGGCCAAAAAACTGTGGCAATTGAGCTGTGATTTAGTCAAACTCGAAGATCATCTCAGAATTGATTAAACTTTTTATTTTGTTTACTGTTATTAATATAATAAATTGTAAACATTTTTTGTTTATTGGATACTATTTTTAAACATCAGTACATTTTTTGTACATCAATTTCTCAAGTGTTAAATGTTATGATTAACACATAATTATAATAAATATAAAGTTTTGTAACTAAAAATTAAAGGATAGTCACTATTCGATAGTGTTATGAATAACTTATGAATTATAATGCATTAACAGTTTGGGTGCTTTGATATGAGAAAACAATTGTCAATTTATCAAAAAGTGTTGCAAAACTACAGTTAATACCACATCTCAACAATGGATGCAAACATTGATTGCTAACTATATTATTATTACTGTATTATTAATGATTGATTTAATGCAGATTTGAATTGAAAATTGGTGAAAATATCCACACAAATTGTCTTTGGATATAACTTCAGACTTGTTTTCACATTAAAGAGCGAGAGAGAGAGAGAGAGGGAGAGAGAGGCTGAGAGAGAAGTGAAACTGGTTTTCATATTCAATACACACCTATTATTCAATAGACTTTTCCATTCATTTGTTTCAAACAAACAAATTGTAAACACATTTCAAAAACAATGAATTTGTTTAATATATTAAATGACATTAGACTTAAACTTTACATAATTTTCATTATTTTTGTTGAATTACTTAAAAATTCATTAAATATTCGCCGAAAATGTGAATCCAATGCAAGACTTGATGGACGGGTAGTTGTGATAACCGGTGCCAACACTGGGATCGGCAAACAAACAGCACTCGAGCTCTCTCTTCGCGGACCTAAGGTTTGCCACAATTAAGTGATTTTCAAATTGGATTTATTTTGAATTGTAATTCAAAGATAATCATCGGTTGTCGAGATGTGGAGAAAGGCGAGAGAGCCGTTCAGGAGATCCAACTGAAGAATCCCAAAGCAAACATAGTTGTCATGAAATTGGATTTGGCATCACTTTCATCGGTCCGACACTTCGCCCAATCGGTGGCAAAACAGGAGACCAAAGTTGATATCCTTA